CAACTAAATAGAAATTCAGAGCAAGACCAGAAAAGTGAAGATGCTTAACTGGTAATTAAAAGTCTGCCCACAAGGAAAGTATCAGGCCCAAATGATTTTTCTGGTAAATTCTTCCAAAAATTCAAGGAATAAAGAATTCCAGTTTCACATGTGCTATTCTGGTATACATAAAAAGGAGGACACCCTCTACTCATTTGAGGAGAGTAACTTCAATGCTAAAACCCAACAAGGATAATATAAGAAAAAAATTATACCTTATTCTCAATCGTAAACACGGAGGCAGAAGTTCTCAATATATGTTAGAATAAAAAGTGCAGCAAAAAATGTAACACATAACACATAAGTTAGGTTTAGCACATGAATACAAGGTTAGTTTCATATAAACCAATGTAGCTCACTACATTAAGAAATGGAAGGAGAAAATTCATTTGATGATGTCAATAGACAGAAAACATGTTTGATAAAATTCGATATCCATTCATATTAAAAACTCTGAGTAAACTAGGAATAGAAGGAAATTTCCTTGAGCTTGATACAAGGTAAGCTAAAAACAATCCCTCTTAAGATTCAAAACTAAAAACACCCCTCACTCTAACCATTAGAAGTACATCATTCAGTCTGTCGCAGAAGGTTCTATTAAGCATCTCCGAAACTCAGTTTCGGATCCCAAAGTGAATTTGTGCTGCCATACATAACATGCTATTAACAGCAGTGTGTGGAGAAGGGATGCGTCAGACACATTCACTTCATTCCAGGCCAGGCTACAGATATGACTCACAGTCAGGTTCTTCCCTCTCTAAAAACTACAAAATCTGAAGGACAAAAATTGCCGTTCAATGGCAATTTATTGGGGATGGACTTTAAGGGAGGAAGTAGAAACAACAGAAAGCCTTGAGTATATTAAATCTCTTAAATCTGTACAGCATCTTCAGGGAATGAATAGTTATCTATCAAATCACAATTCCACCAAACGTAAGCTCATTCCTTTAAGCTTTGAAGATGTGATCATAACCACTGAGGGAGAGAACTTTCTCGAACAGGTTAGGTTACTCACATAACTGACCCTTTCTTGATGACTCTGGGGAATTCTATTCTATCAGTTCAGCAGGACAGCCTATGACAATACTGATCCCTTGGGGAACATCAAGAAGCAGAGGATTTTTCCACCAGCAGTACTGTCTTAAATGCTGTCATTTCTTGAGATCTGCCTCTTGATGCTAGTGAGAGAGCAGCGTATTCCAAAATTTTTAGATGATAAATTTCCTAGCAGAACCTCTTCAGTTGAATTGTGGGGACTCCTTCAACTTGAGATGTAATAAGAAATAGTTTAACAGAGGACAAAATCATACCTGGCCAGTACGATGGGTATAACATAGGAACATTTTCTAAATTCCTCCACTTAGCCTATGTAAACATCATAAGCGGCACGATGAAAGAACTTTTGAGATCGGGATGGCTGAACGAAAAATATGCCTCCTCTTTAAGGAGCAGCTGGTCTTTAAGGATAAATGGAACATGTCTCAACATGCCAAATTACATGTTTTTTTTTTTTTTTTCCTCCTTGAGGGGGAGGAAATCACGAATATAAATCATGGCTTCCAAACACAGTATTTATCTTCTAAAAATAACTTATGAGTTGTGAAAAATTATATACTAAGATTATATAGAACATTAAGAATGTACTTTTGAATAGATTATATTTTATTTGTTTAAAGTATAATTCTAGCAAACTGCTATCACTATCAATAAACATACACCGAGGACAAGTAAGATACTGGGCTGAGAAGGTTCTAAATCATGGTTTTTAAACCTCAAAAAGTTTATTCAACTGCAGAGGCATACTGTGAGCAAAACAAAAAAGATAACTGTCACAACATGAGTTTAGACGAGTAAAATAGGAATTCAGTAGGATTTTGTAATGTAAAACAAGGATAGAGTTCTGGTAGTTTAAGAGAATGTTAGCAACAACCCCCCCCTCCCCAAATCATAACCAAAACAAATGGTGCAGTTATAAATGCTTTGGTTTCTAAATGTAGGCCCCTGTAGTTGGCTATGTGACCATTAGGAAGTCCCTTAGCTGCTCTGAGGCCTGATATTCTTATCTGTGGAATAGGGTTTTTTACTCTGCTTTTGTTAGAGGATTGTTAAAAAGCTCAAATAAGACTATTTCCTGGGGCGCCTGGGTGGCTCAGTTGGTTAAGCATCTGACTTCGGCTCAGGTCATGATCTCAGGGTCCTGGGATCAGGGCCCCATGTCGGGCCCCATAATCAGCAGAGAGTCTACTTCTCTCTCTCCCTTTGTCCCTCCTCCGCTCAGGCTCTTTCTCTCTCTCAAATAAAAAAATAAAATCTTAAAAAAAAAAAAGACTATTTCCTTCATATCTTACAAAATACCATGTATTTTTGGTAGGGGGTTACTTTTGAAGTAATATTCTTAGATTGCAATTAACAAAAAGTTAGCAAAGAACAAACTCTATTTACCAAAAAAGGTAATCTGCTCCATTTTAGGCAGGCATAATAATTAGGAGAGGTGGGGTTATGAGGCTTGTTATCATACACAAGTGCAATTACTATTACTTTTACAAAATCAGACCAAGGCTTTTAGTTTGCCTCATTTTCTGTGTGCTCTCTAGTATCTACAAGCAAAATCATTTGTCATGTCTTTGATGTACTTTGCATCACCCAAATAGCACATGGATACCATCATTAATAATAGACAAGGGCAATAAGAACAAAATTCAGAGTACTGGGTATTTGATACTTAGGCAAAAGGTGGGCTGGAGTAAGGATGGGGGTAGAAGAAACAGCTGGATCATGATTTCTCAAAGTATGACAATAAAATATCCAGGCCATGCTCCCAGACCCACCAACTGAAAAATCTGGGGCAGAGTAAGGAATCTGCATTTTTAATAAGCCCCTGGGGAAACTCCTGTACACTTGCAACTTTGCAACTACAGTGCCCTAGGGTAGAAGACTGAGTGTCCCAGTGTTGCTTTTCTTTTATCGATTTAGGACTTTGCCCTTCACCCCAGTTCTGTCATGGATCTCTGTATCAGCCCAGTGTGTGTGAGGTCTTTTTATTCTAGACCCACAGTCCTAATGGCAGAGTGCAGGGGAAGTAAGTCTAAGATACACAGGCAGATGTCAGGGAGGAATCCCCCTCTTAAAAGAAATACCTGGTTTCTGGTTCCTGCCTCTCTCTCTTTGGACACCTGAGGGCAGATAGTCCTACAGGTCAGGGATCAAACCTCCCCCTTTTGCGGGGAGGGGGCTGGGTAGCCTGGTGACAAACCTATTTCACCACTGAGACTAAGGCTTCCTGTCTGCCAGGGCGCCAAGAGGCCAAACATTCTCCTTACACAAGCCCTTTGGGTAAGAAACAGGGCTTGAGGGGGAACTATGAATAAAAGGGATTTATACATGGTATAACAAATACAAGGTTTGTTAGGTATTTCAAGGACCAAATATATGTCCCCCCCCTTCATCCCTCCTCCTCAATTATTAATCCTTGCAGGAAATCAGGAAGATACTATTTAAAAAGCACAAAACCAAAAAACTATTGAAATAGAAATGGTATCCAGGCCCGAGTGCACAAACTGGCAGTCTCGCAGAATGATTTTGCCCAGAGAGGTTTTGTTTAGTCTGCAAAGTGTTGCTGTTGTTTTTAATTTGAATTAGTTGCCAACTTAAAATACAAAACAAAACCACACAACCTGGAATTTTTACATGAAAATCCAATTTCCAAATTCTCCTGAAAAAGTGCAAGGCTGTTAACAAGGTAATAAACTGGCAAAGCTTGGTGGTAGCTGTCTCCTTCAGATGAACTCCCTCTTGAAACCAAGGCCCACCACTGAGCCAGCCCCCGAGTCAGCGCTCACCCCTTGGGCCCTATGTGTCATTGGTGTTCATGGCTCTTGGCCTCCCTAGGGGAATAAAGACTAACCAGCCAAATTATGCAGTTCTTCATGGCGACTTTCACAGCCAGGGAGACAGGGGATCAAAATCAGACAAGAATGCCTGCTTTCTTTTCTGTATTTCATCTAGAAATAAAGTGACCCCTGAGAAAATACCAGGAGGTATTTGGGTTGGACCAGGCCTGAGGAAAGTATACTCACACATCCTCCCTCTCCTGCCCCTCAGCCCCACCCCCAGCCAATGCAGAACAAGAAAGGGAGGAAGGAAATGCAATGGTCACCATCTTGCAACCCTTGGTAACATCACTGACAACTCCCCACCTATGTACGTCCCAGAGAGACTTGAAATAAAAAGACGGGTCTCCAGAACAGCCTATATAAAGGAAGGCCACAGGCATCCAAACTTCGAGAATACCTAGATAATGGACTTACAAGGCTGGGACCTACGAGGTTATTAAGTTTGGTGTTGTTAGAGTAGGTTGCCTTTCCACTTTAGTTTGTTTGATGAGTGAAAGACTCTGGGCAAGTTATTCCTGATGCCTCAGTTTCCTTATTAGGAACATAGAACCTACCTGGAGCAAAACCAGAAGATTTCTCTCTCAAACGTAGGTAATTACAAATAAGGTCTTTAGCTAATTTCCTGTTAAAATGTGTTAAAATCAGATGAGTAATGATATGTTTTGAAATTTAGCGATTTTCCCTAATACGTAAGTAAAATGTTAATAAAGTATTTGTGGGTAGCATAAACCCAAGTTCAATGCTAGTAGGCAGTATCCAGTGAGAAGCTAGGAAACCAGCCCTCGATGAGCATGGACAGACCGTCTAACCTGGTCAAGTCTTCTACCTCCATAATGGAGGGATGGTACTAACCATCTCTCCTTTATCTACTTCATAGATTGTCTGGAGTACCTCAACAACAGAGTGCTATATAAACAGGTCATATTCCTATTATTCATCTTACCTCACAAGATGCTTGAACGCAATGGGAACTTTACAGGTACCTGGCAAATACGACTGCTTCCTCTCTCCCCGTGGGGTAAAGGGGAGGGGATGGGGGCAGCGAAAGAACCCCAGATCAGCACCCACCTCTGTTCTGATGGATACTGGTTTTCAGGCATCATCTTTGGCATCTGCAGGGGCTGATGTGGTGGCCGGGGGACCGCAAAGGTTTGCTGCTGTGGTCCAGGTTCAGGAAGCGAGTGAGGGGCGGGGGCGGGGCCCACACCTGGGACCGGGCCAGCTGCAGGGGCGTGTGCAGAGGTGGGCAGAGTTGCCTGGGGTGGGGGGAATAGGGAGTTCTGATGGGTGGGGGGCGGGGGGGGGGGGGGAGGGGTTAATGGCTTGAACCCAGAGGGAGGCTTCCTATCATAGGCACTGTAAACAGAAAGAGAGAAGGAACCATTAAGCTGTGATGAAGCCATTAGCATGGTCGCCAGGTCCGGCAAGATGGCTAGGCTAGGTTACAGACCAAATCGCCAGGAAATGACAGCATTAACATAGTTAAATTGCTGGCAGCCCCGAGGGAATATTTGTACCTCTGAAAAGTGACAAATACTCTGCGTCACAGGGACTTGTTTAACACTTCTAGTGATTCTTCTCCAAGATAATTTTAGCCTCTGTTTCCGGTTTCCTTTTCCCCCCTTCTAAAAGCATTCTCCATGTATGTGTATGGAGGGATGGATGGGGTGGGGGGCAGAGTTTATGCCCTGGGGGGGTTTCTGGCCCCCCTCTCCCAATTGCTCCAGGGTCCCCAAGAAGTAGTCAGGACCTCTGTGGAAGATAAATTTCTGCCGTAACATGACTTGAATTAAGGACTCTTCTCCCCCTTTCCCAGGCAGTCTGTGTTTATCTTCTAGAGCAAAGAATGATTTAAAATTAAAGCTTCATTCCTGGGGCCTGGATATTCTTAAGTAAAGGGCACAGGCACGGGGACTTTTTCATATATTCTGATTTGAAGATTACTTCTTTGGTGCTTAAAGTTCACATTAACATATGATAGACATGAAGTATATATTCCCTCCCTAGAAGCCACAGATCAAATATCCCAGTATTCAAGGTTCTTTCCCTCAGGAGGGCTCAGTACCCCACGCGCTCAGTTCCCCCGTGGAGCCGGTTTCACAGTTTTGCTTTTCATGTTTTGCACAAAGGCCCCCGTCTGTACTGGCCTACACCTAGGGGACGACATTGCCATGGGAGAGGACTCTGAGCGCTACTCTGAGTGTCTGCTGGAGTCCTGGAAGCAGCCGGCCCCACGGCTCCTCTCCAGCCAGCCTTTCTCTGGCTTCACTTACCAATAGCTGTAGAGGCACTTTTCTCCATAGTTAGCACCGAGAGCCTGCTCGTGGCTGCAGGATGACAGCTCGGAGGAGGGGCTGTGCAGCTCCCGTTTGATCTTGGTTGGAGGTGGGGCATGAAGCACCACTGCAATCAGAAGGGGGGGGGGGGGGCGCGCGAGAGAGAGAGAGAGAGAGAGAGAGAGAGAGAGAGAGAGAG